TGATTCACAATGGAAGGCTCAGTGACGCCTTTGAAGTGAAGACAGGGATGTCTACTATCACCGATGATCTTTCTTATGGTGGTGAACTGGATTATGCAAGAAACTGTGAGGAGCGAGAAGAGGGGCATACGCTGTATGACCGATGAAAAGACCTTAGACGATTTGTATTTCGCCCATGAGGATTTATATCTAATGTCGCACAGACTCGAAGATCTACAGCAGAAACCAACAAGTTGACAGAAGAGGCAGGGCAGCGAAGACGGGTTTTTCTTCAGATGAATGTAGAGAAGACAGAGGTGATGAAGATACCCAACCAACACCACCACCATCAACAACAAGAAGCTCCAATCACCATCAATAGGAGAAACTAAAAGGAAGTAGTCTCTTTCACCTACACCTACTTAGGCAGCATCGTTCCAACTACAGGCAGCACAGGCACAGATGAGGACAGGTCTTCCTGCATTAGTTTGAAACCAGCGTGGTCTACTGCACTGCACTGCGCTCAGCATGAAGTGTGATCAACATGCGGATTTTCAACACTGTCAGTTAAGTAAGTCAGTGCTTCTATGTGATGGTTGAGAGACTTGGCACGTTACGAAAAGCATTTCCAACAAACTACAGACATTCATCAACGGCTGCCTATGCTCGATTCTGATAAGGAGATTGCCAGAAAGAAATAAGCAACAAGGATCTCTGGGGACGAACCAACGAAGTAAGAACCCATCACCCAATAAATATGCAGAAGAAAGTGGAGATGGATTGGATTGTATTAACACTGAGAAAACCATTCTGAGATATCACGTGTCAGGCTCTGGAGTGGAATCCAAAGGGGAAATGAGGAGTTTGGTGTCCGAGGGTGACTTGAAGAGATTGTGTGAGGAAGGAATGAAAGGTTCTGGGCAGTCGTGGAGCCAGGTTGGAAAGACTGTAGAGGAGAGAGTGCGATGGAAATGTGCTACTGAAGCCCTATGTTCCACTAAAACTAAGGGACAAATAATAATAATAATAATAATAATAATAATAATTGAATGCTGTTCAAAAGATCTGACACGCAATCATGAAATATAGACTGACACTTCATTTTGATGAAGGTAGAGAAGATGACTGAAAAAACTAAGACAATATCAGGGACCATTTTGTTGTAGATTACTGTTATTAAATTTTATTATGTCTTTTGGGTTATAATAAATAACTCAATGAAATTTAAATTAATGTCTAGTGACCAAATATAATTTTACTGAGATGATTCTGATGCATTGATTTATTCAGCTTAATAAAAAGTGTAAGATATTATTGTTTTTAACAGTAAAGAAAAACGAGTTTGACTAACATGATTTTTAAATTCCTTGGCATTAGTTACTACTCTTATTTGAAATAACCTTTGGACATATTTTATCTAAGGAAATCACCAGCATATTAAATGTATATAAACTGCAATGTCTAAGGTGACAGTTATACAGTTAAATAAAATACAATAAAGAAATTCCACCATGACTCTTTATGGGAAATGAAAATTTCAAATTACAGTAGATTATCTGCAAGATACTGTAGATGAAGTCAGGACTATGAGCATAAAAGATATACAATATGAAGTGGTGAATCTCATAAATATCTAATCTAAATCCATATCAATCTTTAGCTCTAATTAGGTTATATATATTGTAAGTTTTCCTATCACATGAATGTTAACAAAATACTTAGTTTTTATGGCATTTTGAATAAGAAATACCTAAGATAACTGGCCTGTTAGTATTCACTGACTAATTACTAGTTAAGTCACTATAGTTGTCATTTTTCTTCCAATAAAGTGTTATTCTGACAGTTACACGGAGAAGACTACCTTTTGTGTCATATATCTTAAACATGGTAAATAAATTTAAACAAAACACGCAGCGCTATACAAGTATCAGCGTATTCGCGTTACTGTGTTAGTGTTTTACAAGCTCATATCTTGAGCGACAAAAATCCTCCAAAAAGGTTATCAGGGTGAATCAATAAACTCTTTTTAGACACTATGAGAGTATCTTGTTACCTACCAGCTAATACATAGATGTATGTTAAAAAGCTTTCAGTCAGATGAAACTTCAGTCATCTAATCAATTAATAAAGCCGTTATTCATGTGTTCTATCACTATGATAAAGTGTTGATTTATTGATTAGCATTCACAGAATATAAAGTTAGTCAGTACTGTGATATCATCCTGAAAATTACATCATGGCATATTTGAATTTCATCTGGATACAAGACCTGATAGATAATCTTAGTTATCTTCTATCTTCATTGAATGTTTGGTCTTCTTTTTAGTGGACATGTTTTGCATTTCTTAGCCACTTTTTACTGAACAATAATTCGGCCAAATAAACCGATGTTTTACTTTTTTTCATCGAAATTCCATTTTCGACTAATTCTTTATGTATAGAGAAAATACAGCGTATCAATAAAAACTTCATCAACTGATCTCTTTGCTCAGTCCTAAAATAAACGCATATTTCTTAATACAATGCTGAAGCATCCAGTCAGACAACCGGTTGAAATTTTATCGTAACATGGTGATGGTCTACTATTTATCGATGGGATCTTCAAGACCCTTTATGATTTGCATTGGATGAGGGTGGTGGTATATCATAAATTGACAAAAGTGGGAAAATGTGGATTACTGGATTCAGACCATGTGGGTCAACCGTAGCGTGCTCCCCGATAAATTCGAAGATGGTGCATTCCATCTCTGATAGGAGTCCCACGCTATCATGAAATAGCTGTCTAGTGCTCCTAGTTTTTTTCAGTGGAATCAATAAATAACCACAAGCCTCCATGGTGAATAGTAATTAATTAGTACGGTTCAACCTGGCATAGATTTGTCCACTATGCTATGAACCGAACTTATTATATGAAGGCTAATTTTACTATCTGACTGCTTAAATCTAAGGTAGGTGGAAAGAGATTTGAACCTATAACCCGATGGATGACTGTTCACTTCCTAAAACAATGAGCCACATGAAAAAATGTGAAGCGAATATTCTAGAAATATTCTTGAGGTTGGTATTCATCATGGACTAACATCAGTTGGAGGAACACTGGAAACCTGGAAGCCCTGGACAGCAGCTGTTTCATCCTGGTATGGGACTCTTCAGCACCACTCACCCCACCAGGCACGGGACCTATTACCCTCAGGTTCCGTGGCCAGCACGCTGCCATTGAGCCACTGTGTCGGAATCCAGTGGTCCTTATTTCCAACATCTGTCAGTTCATTACACAGCAGAATCATCACCCAATATCATCGTTGAGTATTTGTCCTCATTGGTGACTAGCTTCAAGAGGTGATTCCTGAAGTTCCAGTGAGAATTCGTGACCGGTGGGGAATACCTGATGGCCCTAAGGACAATTACTCAACAATGACAATGGGTGGCGGTTACGCTTTATCATGAACTGACAGAAGTTGGAAATATGGATCACTGGATTCCAATCCAGTGGTTCAATAATGATATGATGGCCATGGAACCTGAAGATTTTGGGTTGAATCCCTGGTGGTTTGAGGTCATGGGTGTGTAATCCTGAGGAGTCCTCATGGTAGGATGAAACAGTTATCAAATGCTCTCAAGTTTCCAATGTTCCTCCAAATGATATCAGTTCATGATGAACATCAACCTGAAATCATAAAAATAAATCCCTAGAAACCCCCAAATTAATTTCTAAAAATAGACTAAACAGTAACGTAATTCTACTGCTACAACATATCAAATGGTTGATATTAAACATTAGACATGAGTTCATTGATTTAAATAGTTTTTTTTGTAAATAATTTCACTTTCAGTCATATAGCAAAGTGTTAGTTGATGTAACAAGAAATTCAACATACGAATTGTTTCATTTGACCTTTATATCTTATTAGTTCATGCATGATAAACAACGAATAACAACGATTGGACATATCTACACATTTACATTACATCATATACAGATCATAAACACGCATAAATCAACATAAAATTACATAAACAAATTTATATTTTGTTAAAGAGGAATTTCATCTTTCAATTTTTTATTCATTAAACCAACTCTATGAAGACATGAAGATATTACATGCAACAGGGATATTCATACAGAAAATATACACATACATACTACTTATTTCATACACAAATACACAAACATATACTCAAAATGATCATTCATTTAGTTGCCTTCAGTTTTATATTTTGTTTTAAAAGAGAGAAATCCTTAAACACTTTTAATTGATTGGTGCTATTTATATGAAATATAAAAAAAATCTACTTATTGCTTCGCTTAGTAACGTTATCACATTAAGTTCTATTGATTATATGTGAAATAGTGATAGATACTTATTAATTTCAACCGAAATGATAACTTCATCGCCTAAAATATACGCATAGGGGACAATAGTGAAGTATTTGAAGTGGTAAATGCTTTTACAATTTTTTATTGAAATGAAGGTGAATTGATGTGATGAGTACCTGGTTAGATGAAATGAGTGTAACAGATATCAACAATGATCATTGTTATTAATGACGTTGTCATGGTATCTGTACATACCGTCCATATGTCAAGCTATATTCGATCTATTCATTTCATGAAATAAACTACAAGTACTGAGAATTGTTCACAAACTTTTAACAGTTTCTCACTTAGTGCCGTATTTACCTTATTCATTGTTTTATTTGAAAGAATTGTAGCTAAAACTGATAAAATGTGATAATGTAATCAAAAGGAGAGTAAAATAAAGTAGAGAAATTAAATGTATATATCTGCTTGTTTAAAGGATTCCAGCTGGTAATAGTAATAATTCAAGCAGTTCTTAATGGCATCAGTCAAGTTAAAGGTGGACATCTGTCGCATAATCTACAATTAGACTTTTCAGTCACCCTTAATAAAGTAGTTTCAGATTTCAAATATTTATCACCAGATTTCGTATTCTAACCCAAACCGACTAATAATTCGTTCAATGCTTACTAATAAGGACTTGTTTATTACAATAACTCACCTGTGTTTGCAGCCTTGATAAACCTCTAATCCATAAAATCTGGCCTGTATTACGTAGTTCAGCACTGCCCAAATTTTCTCTGTCTTCATCTTCTTCCTCTTCATCGTCATCATCTTCCTCTTCTTCTTCTTCACCTTCAGGTTGTGTATAAATTGCTCCAAAACCACGGACAACTGCATTAGCTGCTTTGTTAACAAACCCTGTACTTGGTCGATGACCTAAACCACCGTCTGCTATCGATGTATGTGTAACATCTTGACCGAACAGTCCAGCAGTTTCTGTTCCAACTGCATCTTGTGTTGTAATTAGTGTTGAACGTCTTGGCTTAATTGCCTTTCTTCTTCGTTTTGGAATTACCCATACTGGTATTGTGATGATAAGCTTTTAGGTAAAAGAAAATGAAACGGCTATAGTTCATTATTTTTCGATATTTTTACATCGTAACAAGATAATAATTTAAAACTACTGACAGGAATAATCTTCGAAAACCCCTTAAACTGTAATAGTGATGTTACCAGTTCCCAAATATCATTACACTTCAACTTAGCACTGATTAAAACGATAAATCACTCACTACTTTGAAGCAAAACATAAGTAGTCTTAATGTGACACGGAAAGATATTTTAATTTTCAATACAAATACTGTCATAATAAACTGAAGTTAATTACGACACTGATAATAAAGAAGTAAGAGGTTTAAACTGACCTGACCCCAGATTAGTGTACCGATTCCAAAAAATAAACACCACAACCAGTGTTCCAAAGCTAATGGGCGTGTACTGAATGCATATCCACCAAACTGAATGATAACTACCTACAAAAGAAGCGAAATATATCAAATATTATCTTATTTAAGTAGCAGTAAAGAACTTTCTTTTGGCCAAGTTATGTGTTCAGATGTTAGTCCATAGTGCTTTCTCCATCATTGTTTCCGTGTTGGTTAGAGACTGTCACCTATAAGACACCTTATACTTTCTCCTTCTCTAGGAAAACTAGAATATAAGCTTATTATATCCTCAGGATTTGTGGAAATACTGGAGTGCAGGCTTACTGGATACACTTCCTCCAGAACTGAACATTCATGACCAACATCAGTAGGCTCATTTTCGACTTAAATAGCCTAGTGATAAGGTATCTGGCTTCAGAAATGAGTGATTTAAACTCGAGTCTTTGAGGCAGTATCGGATCTCTCAGGGTTTCAAACACACTTTGTTGATGGTTTATTGATACTTGTAATTCCCTGTTTTTATCCTGTATGGGACTTATCCACTTATGTTGACATACTGGCTTTTAAGCAGATGCCTGAATATTGCACGATCATTCCTTAAGTTGCTAGCAATGGAATCTAGAATGCGTGTTTCATCCTATTCAGGCCTCATTATTTGGATGTGTGCGCAAGCAAATGAGTGGCGGTAATCCTACTGTGGTCTCAGTAGATGACGCTTAGGTGTTTGGAGTGATGAGTAGGGAGTTCGGGTCCCATTGATTAACTACTTCGGTAAGTGTGCTGATTTTAGGAACTATTTTGTAGTTTGCCATGCCAGTACTACTACCATCACCAATAATAATAATGCTAAAAGTACTAACAAACGTTCTTATATTATGAATTTCAGAATATTTTCGATAATAAAATACTCTTTTTGAGACTAATTATGATCTTTACTGACTAAAATTGATGTGTAAAGATAATCAGGAACGATAGCAGAGAAAAATGCTTATAAAGAAAAAGATTGAATTGGGATGAAGAATCTTTGTTCTGCTATCTTGCAAATCACTATCAGTTTATGAGCAGAGAAAAGTAACTCAGTGTGCAAATTGTCGGTAGTAATTATTGATAGCTTGTCATTTAATACTAATGGTAGTGGTAGTGAGATCATTTTAGGTGAATACATTAGAACTACACAAGTTAGGCTTTAATTCTTTACCTGTTTAATAAATGTTAACACTTTATATATGTTCAGCTTGTATGCCCAGAACAATGAAATATTCAGTAAGCTTTCTTATTAGCAGTATTCATTTATGATATATTGTGCATTAACACTGTATAGTATAAATTCATGCATGAATTTAAAGTTCCAGTAATAATCTTATTACCAAACTGATTTTTATTTACTAGTTAGACAACAAATATGCAGAAGGAAATGGAGATGGATTGGCATGCACTGAGAAGACCATGCAGGACATCACATGCCAAGCACTCGAGTGGAACCCGATGGGAAACGGCGAGTTGGGTGTCCGAGGGTGACATGGAAGAGATCGTGTGAGGAAGAAATGAAAGGTTATGGGCAGTCGTGGAGCCAAGTTGAAAAGACTGCAGAGAAGAGAGTGCGATGGAAATGTGCTACTGAAGCCCTATATTCTACTAGGAACCCAAGGGACAAAGAATAAAATAAAAAAGTTAGACAGACTTATCATCATCATATCACTTTTTGCAGAAAGTGTTACGTGAAAATATGCAGATTCGAATTTTACAAGGTAAAGTAACTTTCATCACGATCATGCGTGGGTATACCTTTCAAACAAGTGTCTACAAACTACGACCCAGAACTTCCTCTCATCTTCAATCATTTATGTCTCAGTGCCAAAAATATGAGTCTTCTAAGCTACGACTATCTCAGGTAGTCATATTGATCAATAAACTTTGTCATACATGAGTGCTTGTTTATTAACTACAAGTAAGCATTACATTCTTTTTTAACCGATTAGGCAGTTACATAGGGTGAAAACAGTCGCTTGTTTTATCTAACTTACAGACCACATAAGCACTGTTGTCTGTATACTCAACCATTCTACATGGGTTGTGTCCTTAGCGTTAGATGAATAAAGAGGTTATATGAAATAAAGGCTAAACCATTTATTTATCTGATTTCGTAACTCATATTTAACTATTGCTTATTGGAGAATTTTAGTGGAATTTAAAAAAAGTTACAGTAAATACAATTTCAGGATATTGACTACTTAAATATAAGTAGTATTTCTCTTTTCAACATACTTGTAGTGCAAATGTTGAAATCCAAATAATAACAAATAGTATATTATTTGTTAAACCAGAGAAAATATTTCTTTGTCCATGTATTTTTCTTGCATTGATTTCATTAAACAATGTCATCATAACAAATGAATTAAATATAGTTGTAAAATGTTCCGTTGGACGATTTATACCCTTTGCACTTAACCCACGACCACTTTCTACATCTAATAAATGTTCACCTAATAAACGAAAAGAGGAATATATTAATAGTTAATACACATAATAAGTATGTATCAACTTCACTGAAAGCAATTTTAAAGAAATAAACGATGGTGTAGATTTTTACAGGTGATTGATAGTTTTATGATCGGTATCGATCTATCTCAACAAGAGGTGGTTGAAATTGACTGTCAAGTGAATTTTCTGCATTGTTTAGTTAACTATGTATAAAGTGAAAACCTGAAATGCCATTTTCATTAAATTTAGCGAAGAAAAGTGATAAATGAAATTCAAGAAATAACTGTGTTGCTGAGTCACTCACTGTCTTAACCAATCAACTTATGTACTGGAGTGTAGATTATTCAGTTAACATTGCCAAGATCTTAAATGCAGAAAATGAATAAAAAATTCAGAGATAAACGATAGGAATGATGAAGAAGCTAATAATACCTGTGTTTTAACCTTCATTGAAGGTTCTTTGGACAAACTAATCAGTTCGCACACAAAACCGAAAGAAGCACTCTGGATGCCACCACTGTCTTATATCACTATATTGTTCATAGTCTGGTTAGAAATGCCTAGTAAGTCAGGTGTGCCGTTTAGAATAGACTTTAGCATTTGCTTCTGTCCCAAGACCCATTTTGCTGGTCAAGCTAACTCGGGCAAATACTGAGTGCTGGATAATTAGCCGGCTGTAGTCCTATTTTCTGTAAGGAAACAACACATTGTTCATAGAGGGAGATACTCCATCTCTTTGCTGACTGAGGGTGGTGTTCCTCAGGGTGCCGTTCTTTGTCCCAGTTTTTTCTCTTTCTGTGTGCATGAAATGTCGTCTTCAGCCAGAATCAATTCTACCTCATATACTAATGACCTAACAGTTTCCATACCTATCTCTTCTTTAACAGATTTTTCCCAACTGAATGATATCCTATCTACTGTTAGACGGTGGACCTCCGTGAATGGCCTTATACTTAATTCTTCAAAATGTCAGACTATAAATTTTAGTCTCGGACGCGAACTTAACCAAAGTAAGCTGCATAAGTCCCGTGATTTCTGTTCTATTGGTGGTTTTGTATTAGGTAACGTCACAAGTGTGATTTGTCTCTGCGCATGTTTTTCTTCCAACCCTTCCTGATCCTCCCATATCTTACTAATTCCCAAAAGAAACTCTCGCCTAACACGATATATTGGGACTGTGAGAGCATCTAGTGCTTTAGGAACCTCTGCATGTTCCCTGTTTACCTCTATGGTTCCCCTTATGTTCTTTCCTGGTTTTCTGAAAAAAGAATATGCTGGATTGTGTAGAACTTTGAAGATTGTCATCAGAACTAGTGGTGTACTTCTACGCCTTCCAAATGAAATTGTTATGAACAAGCATCTTTACTCATGTAAACATCTGGCAGGATTTGTTTTATCGAATGATAAACAACCTCTTCACTCAAAACTATCTGCAAGGTGGTCATCAGTCAAGACCAGAAACAAGTTTATCAGACTTATGCATATACTGCTAAATTTAAAAACTCTACATTACCGTATTTAGCTAGAATACTGTGCGAAGAAGAAAATGTTAAAAATGACCTGACTAGTCAACCTTTGTTTGAGAAAGCAAACTAATGATGAGCAACCGGCTTCTTATTATTCATTTATTTATTTATGATGAATCTAATTACTAATTTTATCGTTTACCTAAGTTAATTCTGCATTTTCAAAAGTTTATAGATAGGTTAGTAATAATTTTGAAGTTCGGTATTTGTAGTATAATGACGTATGAGGATTAATTTGACCTCAACAGAGATTTTAAAGCATGCAAAACTGTAATGTATATTAATTGAGGGATTGAGATGGTGTAAACTGATAAAGAAAAGTGTAGGCCTGTTGGTTGGGGTCTGAAAGGCAACTGTAATAGATGATTGAAAATAATGTGATGTCCTAAAATGGAAAATTCTGATAGAGATGTATCTATGCCTTAGCTTCATCTATGCTTTAATGCCACATATTATAACTCTTCATCTTCTTTACTATTTTCTGTATAACTTTATGAGTATTATGAGTCTAATGACGGTCTCTTCTCTCCTGGTAGCTTTCATTCCAGTATATTGATGTGAAATTTGTAATAAAATTACTTTAGCTATTTTACCATCAGTACCATTTAAGAAGAATATTGACAGAAAGTTTATGCTTTCGTATAAGAACGAATCAGAATGTCAATAGTTATACGGATCTACAAAGCGTCTTTCTCATCTGGCCACTAAAATTATTCTTCAGTCTTCTAATCTAAATAGTCTTCCACTTTGGTTCCAGCGACTCCAGAGTCATCGTAGTGGATTACATTTTTTAAAAAGAGGCAATTTGAACCACACAATCTTCAAAGGAATGTTTTCTGAGTCCTTCAGAGTAGTAGATTAGATAGTGAAAATTATTTCTACATTTTGAAATAAGTTTTTCCCAAGGTCCATTATATAGTGTTATAAGCGAATGCTGAGTTTTATTCAGTGTATTGGCTGAAATACTTCTAATATTTTTGACTACTGAAAAAAAGATAGTAGTATAATTGATAATACATAAAACAGACATTATATGTGATATGTATTTTAATAATGATGAAAGCATTTTCAATACATCCTTAACTAACTTACCAAACCATATTAGGTAGAAAATAACCGTCAACTGGTACAATGATTGACCTACAATATTTTTGATCATATTTCGACTGATAATTGGTTTTGTTCGACCATATGGTGCCCGTTCAAGTAATTCTTCTGTTGGTATTTCCGTTGCCAAGGCTAGCGATGCCAAAGTATCCATGATCAAGTTGACCCATAACATTTGAACAGCTTTCAATGGACTATCCTGTTTAATAAAACAATTTTTGGAATAACTTAGAAAATGCCACCAAGTTTTATGCATCACTGTTATTCATTACCATTTGTCTTTTTACTTATGAAAGTTTGTTGTCAATTCTCAGCGTTCAAATATAATAATACTGTAGGAAACTTTTGCCAGCACTTCCTTTTTGCTTGGCATAATTTTAAGATCTTAGCAAAGAATTGGGAATAATTCATAGATCGCAGTATTTTTTATCATCTCTTGGGATACTTACAATTGACATCACCAACCTACAGTAAGAATCCAAAGTCTTATGAAATTCCTTACTGATTTGTAATAATAATAATAATAATAATAATAATACTTCATGCCTGCATTTGCGGAAGCATGCCATTTTTACAGATGTGGTTATTAAGAATTATTTATGAGCTGTTGTGCAAATATTTATGTCATTTTACTAATTTTTCAGGTAGTAACAATCCTTAGGTTCAATAAAAACAACATGATATAAGATAAAGTTAATATATTCAAAGGTTACGGCTAGCTATTGTAGATTTTTATAATCTATAAGGAATCGGAATTTTATAATTATATCGAAACAAATTGCAAGTTTTGTTGTATGTAGGCTGATGGAAGTGTGGAATCATAAATAGTACACAAATTATAGATGATGAAAATAAATAATTCGCACCAGTAGCAGATAAATCATAAGGAAAACAATTATTTTAATGATAAGAAGTTCAGTACTGATGATAGTAAAGTGCTTGGATTCTAGTATTACTTATGGCATTTACATGAAGCCTTGTAAATTAAATGTATAATAGACAAATGTCTTGGTTGTATTGTGTTCTCTGAGCTGAGTTGTTTACTAGTGGAACTTTCATGGTTTTTCTAGACGATATCTTGAGTACTAATTTCAATGTGAGCCACCTAAGCCATAAATATTCCCCACTATTCCAAAAGACAAATGTATCAAAAAGTTAGTTAAGTGTAGGAAGAATGCTGTAGAAACAAGAAACACTTCTTTAGTTCCAACATGTTTCTTGTTTGTTTATCTATATCATATCCGCTTCCAATCCTATCCGCCATTTGCATTTAAGCGATGATGACCTGTAGGTTGGTGTCTGTCAGCTTCCATTTGCTCTGATGACTCCTTGACTAGTGAACAATATTTGTTGAAGTTAATAGTTGATTATATTCATCATTATCATCTTATCGATGATGTGAAGATTCTGACATTAAAGCTGTGGCTTCTTGGTTCAGGGGGATGACTTCTAACCTATAAGTTACGGGTTCGAGAGCCGTTCGAACAACCGAAGTTTGCGCAGCCAGGTGGTTTCATTAGCCCTCACACAATCCGTATGGCAAATTGCGTACTGCACAAACGTATGCAAGGATGCTGAGTGCGATTCATTTGTTCAAACCTATTATACATATAATGTACAACTGCTGAGTAACTTTGTAGTGTGAACCAGTCATAAGTAGTGTATATAACAATGTTGAAAGTGACAGCTATGAATTGGTGAGAAATCAGGTGAAAGGAACATACAATTTTGGATACGAATACAAAGCACAAAGATAGGGTGGAATGGTATCCATAAAATAAGATGATTTCCAAATGGATAAATTACTGCTCCATAAAGGTATATTTCTCAACAAAGGATTGCAACTGTTCCTTGACCTCCATCATTGATGTCGCTGCGTTTTACTAATCTGTCGTTGTCAATGAAACACATCCATATAAGAGACTGTCATCTTAAGTTGATATACATTTAAAAATTAAATCATTCTGCATATAAAAACGATTGTACCATAAAAGAATATTTGAGTGAAATTACAAAACTACTATTATAAATTCAATAAATGAAAAATAAATTTTCAAATCTTGATGTTCTGGTTTAAAATAAATCTGACAGTCACTTTCAGAATTCACAAGAAGAAATAGGTGACAAAAAGCTAAGAGAAATAAAACAAGAAAATGTTTATTACTGTCAAAATCTTCTATTCTTCTATAGTTAAGATTTTAAGGTGATAAAAAAAAGTATATACATAGCAGTTTTTAGATAGATTAGATAAAAATCAGTTGGAAAAGAAAGCATAAATAATGATGATGTTTAGAAAGGAAATAATGATCGAAAATCTACTACTTGAAATGAAGCTTAGTTTAATGGGAAAAAAGAAAAAGAGATGAAGAAGGAAAAATGAAAAGACTCTAATGGATAATACAAGCCTATCATTTTAAATTATTTTTTCCCTATTCACTGGGTAACAAAAATTAAAAAAAATAAAGCATTATAATGAACCAACTTTTAAAAAAATGACACTCAATAAAACAATAAAGAAATAAAGTATTGATGTGTCATTCATTTCACAGAATGAAGCATTTTAGGGCAAAGAAAGAAAGTGTACTGGTGAATTAATGATAAAGTGTATTTTGTAATTTAGCAGAAAATATGATCAGAAACCGTATAATTTGCATAGTTACTTTTTTGGTTGAATAAGATATATATATATATATATATATACGTTCTTATTTCTTGGCTTGTTACAAAAATAGCACTATTTTTTAAAACTGTTTAACCGGTAATTTTGTTTCACTGTTTTTTCTCTAAGGAAAAAAAAGATTCATTATCAATCCTATTTCAAGCATATTTGTCAGTTCTATTGTTTAAAAGATAAATTTGCTATTTTAAGCATTGTTTAGTTTAGATAAAGTATAAGAGGTTATCAGTGAAGCTAAACAATTACGATGGTAGAGATAAAATTGGTAAAGTATATTCACATAAAGTATTCCACTTTATTGCTTGTTATAACAATGAATTGAAATTAAAATAGGATTTTGTGTTTCTGTGTAACTCAGTCCAATAGCAAGTATTGCAATGGTTTATTAATATATGTGTAAAACTTGGGCACTGTGGTAGAATTCAGTTCCATATTAGATTTGCTTATTTGATTTATAACACACAGTGATCTAGTATTATTTACTTGATCACGTTTTGAGCATGCATATATATATATATATATCTATATATATATAATTATATCAGTGTAATGAGACTACTTTCGACATTTAATTTTTATAGTTATGTCACCTCATATGAGTTGTTTTTATTGGTAGTAAAAATTTCCATATGTGTGTGTGTGTTGTTTCACTTCTACTGCATGTGTTGGATGTTGGTTGATTCGATGAACAATGATTCAGTAATCAATATCTCTCTTCACCTGATTATGTTGGACTTGGGTGCATTGGCTTTATCCCATCCACCTCATTGTGTGGTTGTGTGTTAATGCATGCATAGCAATAGCCGAGTTTTTTTACTAGATTATTATTATATTATTATTAGTCCCTTGGGTTTCTAATGGAACATAGGGCTTCAGTAGCACGTCTCCAGTGAACTCTGTTCTCTGAAATCTTTTGAACCTGGCTCCACCACAGCCCACAACCTCTCATTTCCTCCTCGCACGATCTCCTCCATTTCACTCTCGGACGTCCAACTCGTCGCTTCCCATGGGGATTCCACTCGAGTGACTGGCCTGACGCGTGATGTTCCCAGTCGGCCTTCTCAATGTATGCCCAATCCATCTCCACTTCTTCCTGCATATTTGTTGGGTGATAGGTTCTTGGTTGGTTCGTTGCCAGAGCACCCTGTTACTTATTCTTATTATTCTGGCCATCTGATCTTCAGTAACGAGTCACCATAGGCAGCAGTTGTTGATGAATGTCTGTAGTTGATTGGAAATCACTTTTGTAACGCGCCAAGTCTCACAACCATTACACAGAAGCACTGACTTGACGTTGGTGTTGAAAATCTGCATCTTGTTCCGCATGCTGAGTGCAGAAGATCTCTACACTGGTTTCAGGCTTATGAACGCTTGTCTTACTTTTCCGATTCTGACTTTGACATCCTTATCTGTGCCACCTGTAGTTGAAACAGTGCTTCCTAGATAGGTGAAGGAGGTTACTTTTTTTAAGTTTCTCCCATTGATGGTGATTGAAGTTTGTTGTTGTTGGAGTTGTTGGTTGGGTATCTTTATCACTTCTGTCTTCTCTATATTCACCTGAAGTTTCGTCTTCGCTGCCTCTTCTGTCAACTTGTTAGTTTTCGCCTGTAGATCTTCAGGTTTGTGTGACATCAGGCACAAATCATCGGCAAAATCCAGATCTTTTAGGTTCTTTTCCGTAGTCCAGAAATATAATAGGATAATAGACCTAATTAAGATCAGTAATCTAGTAAAAAAACTCAGCTCTTGCTATGCATGCCTTAACACACAACCACACATTGGGGTGGGTGGGATAAAACCACTGTACTCAAGTCCAATATAATTAGGTAGAGAGAGATATTGATTACTGAATCATTGTTCATCGAATCAACCAACATCCAACACATGCAGTAGAAATGAAACAACACACACACACATATGGAAATTTTCACTACCAATAAAAACAACTCATATGAGGTGATATAACTATAAAAATTAAATGTCGAAAGTAGTGTCATTACATTGATATAATTATATATATATGCATACTCGAAACGTGATCAAGTAAATAATACTAGATCACTGTGTTGTGAATCAAATCAACAAATGTAATATGGAATTGGAATGGTTTAGTAAAGAATGTTTGCTAGTAATTCTCATAACAGTCCAACTGCGATCTTACGCTAAAATGGATAACATTTAAACTCTTGTGGGAGCTACTCATATGATATATGGGATGGCTGATCTGACCTGCAACGGGGCTGAACCTTTTCTCTTTATCCTATCATTGACAGAAAGGAAATATAGTTATGCTGTAAAGGACTTTAAGGATTGACTTTGGACCTAGTGCGTTTTCTCTTTACCTTTCCACTAAGTTGGGACACCTCAAAGGACATAAGAGAAGAATACAAGGAAAAAGGACGAACTAAAGGTTCGTAAAGTACTGCCTTATGTAGTGAGTAATCAACTTTTGGAAATGACTTCCAGAAGAAATGGTGTAGCTTTACCAATTGACTTTTTCAAAAGAAGACTGGACAAGCACAGAGATCTACTAGTAGTATAAGCTCACAGCCTATTATCGTTAAACAGCATACAACAGTATACATATCGAATTCAAAGTGATTACAAAATTTTTTGATAAAGTTTTGTAATACACATGACAAAAGTTTTGACTACATCCAATATGAATTTTAAAAAAGTAGTTAGAAATATTTTTACTTAAATTTTAAGATGATTATTCAGAAGAAATGAGAGTTATATTCTAACCTTTATTTATCACTTCATCAAGATATTAATACCTAAGGGACAATGAAACTTCCTTATTATGTCTAATTGAGTTCAAAAGTTCTTCTCTTCCTTATCAAATTACTTATGCTAAAGGGGGGAACAAATGAAATGTGCTATCTCAAAATCATATTTATTAGAAAAAGATAACATTGTATCAATCCACTTGACTTTGTTACGTGTTTAACCTAATCAACCACTTATTGAAAACAGCATATAATTGAAAATTTCTCGTCATCTACAAATGACTGCATTTAACCTTGCCACAACACTCGCTTGTTAATTATCCCCTGCCTTCTTACTGATATATATATATATATATATATATATATATATATATATATATATATATGAATAAAAATCCTTCTGATGGATATCAGTTTTGTTCAGTTTCATTTGAATAAAAATAAAAAAAGTTCATAGTAGAAGTAGGGAAAAAAAAGGCACAATTCTATTTATTAGGAATTCTAACGAAAGAAAATAGAAAAATAGTTTAACTTTTAAGTTAAAGTCTTTCGTTCAGATAAAAAAATCACTTACAGTTATAAAACAGGCGCCAACAAATGCCACTATAATTGCCACCATATTGACAGTTAATTGGAATTGAAGAAATTTTGAAATGGAATCGTATACATTTCTTCCCCACATAACAGCTTTAACAATACTGGTAAAATTATCATCGGTTAATATAATATCAGAGGCTTCTTTGGCTACATCTGTTCCAGCTATACCCATTGCAAAGCCGACATCAGCTTTTTTCAGTGCAGGTCCATCATTTGTACCGTCACCAGTTACAGCAACAACCTCACGACGTGTTGAAATATGACTATCTATTATTCCACTGACTAGTGTGTATTTATCTTGTGGAGATGAACGTGCCAGAACTCTAAGCTGTGGCCATAGTTGATCCATTAAATCTTGTCTTACACGATTTGTACGCGGATCACGTACACGACTGTTGAACTCTTTTCCTTCAAGTACAATATAATTATCACCTGGTCTTAAGATACCACATTTAGCAGCAATTGATCGTGCTGTATTTACATTATCACCGGTCACCATACGAACAGTGATCCCAGCACGTTGACATTTTCGAATAGCTGCAGGAACTTCTGGTCGAACAGGATCTTCAATGCCTACTATACCAATACAGGTTAAATCAGAGACAACTGTGTCTTCATCATCAAAATCGGGTATTTGCCCACGGTTGAGAGGAATTTCATTGGCAGCCACTCCAACAACTTTTATAGGATTTGGTTGAAAGAAAAATATATAGGAAAGGTTGATCAGTGGTTTAGTTTAAAAATAATTTTCAATTTCCCTATAATTTAAAAATACTGGAAAGAAAATAATTATATAATTATTATCACCAAATACAGACATATTTCTCGAAAACTTTTGTGTACTGAAAACAAAAATTACTTCAAGGAAAATAAATTAAAATATAAGATAGTGGAAAAAGACAGTAAGTTTTGCCTAAAGTTACATGACAATATATTAATTAGTAATTCTACAATGATTTTATTAGGAACAACTATTTACTTCATTTGAAGCATTTTAAGTTATTTCATCTAATGAAATGGATCCATGTTAACATTAAGAATGCTATGTGAATTACATGCTAGTTGTTACTGGTAAGAAATAAGTAAAAAATTCATATACAAACTATACTAAAAGAAATTTGTTTCATAGATTTCTATTAACTATCTTACCATTTAGAATGTTATACAAATCTAAAGGCAATTCTAAGTGAAATTTTATTTCAAAGAAGTATGACTTTAAAATCCAAAAACTGTCATCATAACTAGTGATTAGTCGCATTTTAACACTCATAATATTGAAATGCCTACCTACTTCTATCATATTTTTCCTTTGGATTTTTTAATCTATTACAAAGGATTTCTTTTCTCAGATTCTGTGAATTTTAATTGTTATGAAGTTACTGAGCGAATTTTGACAATTGACACAATATATAAAGAATTGTACAGTGATAGAGTACAACATATATATTGTGAATGATATGCATTGTGCTAAACTACGAGTAAAATCTATATATATATATATATATATATATATATATATATATATATATATATATATATATATATATATATATATATATATATATATATATATAATATATCTGATTCCATAAAAGCCGACTTCATTATGATTTGTCAGCTTCAAAAGAATGTCTACCACTATTAACTGTTAGCATAGAATCGGAGAATACATAGTAATCTATAGTAATCAAAAATACAGTGAAATATCCTCATTTCTGATTTTTCTTGCTCTCCTTTTCTTTTTCTTTTGAATTATGCCCTGATAAAGTAAATATTTAATATAATGTGCTTAGATTTAGACTTTATTTAATGCCATAACAACTTGAAATGCAATTTTATAGCCTCAATCACTTTCATACTACGCTATCACAGTTATATCATGTCAAAAAAAAAAGGATTTTGAATTTCAGAAGTTAATGTCAGTCGGATAAATATTTTCCATGAACTACTCAAAAACGTTAGTAATGTATGTTAACAACCTAAATTTATTTCATGTTTAGTTTGACAAACAGATCACTTTTAGAAAAAAGTATGAAAAAAGGAAGTTAATATTAATATTCCTATTGTGATAATTAGAAGACAGATTTTGAAATGAATACATATTTTCGGTAAATTCTTGACAGATTTTACATTTACATTCACAAATTATTCAATATAACCATTTGATATCAACACTGTTAAGTTAAATCGGGTATATGAACTAGAAGGTAACAGTAAAGATGATAATAACAAAACAAAATCATGGAAGGTTTATATATTCTCAGCAGTCAATCCTTGTAGGTGTATGAGTGAATTGTGTGTGTGTGTGTGCATAATGTCTCAAGTTGTTATTCATCGAAGACTGACATCAGTTGGAGGAACAAAGGAAACCTGGGAGCACTGGACAGCTGTTTCGTCCTAGTATGGGACTCCTCGGCAGTGCGCACCCACCACCCCACCAGCAGGGATCGAACACGCGACCTTCAGGTTCCGCGACCAGCGCGTTACCATTGAGCCACTGGGTCAGAATCCAATGCTCCATATTTCCAACTTCTGTTAGCTCACGATATAGCGCGAACCGCCACCTAATGTCATCGTTGAGTATCTGTGCGCACTACGCACTGCTGAGGAGTCCCATACTAGGACGAAGCAGCTGTCCAGTGCTCCCAGGTTTCCTTTGTTCCTCCAACTGATGTCAGTCTTCGATGAATAACAACTTGAAATATTTCCAGATCTCCACAACCCCCTCAAAAATTTAATTGAACTGATGCTCATTGGTGACTAGCTTCGAGAAGTATTCCCTAAGTTCCAATGACAAGTCGTGACCGGTGGAGTCAAAGCCTGATGGCCGTGAGGACAAATACTCAACGATGACATTGGGTGGCGGTTGCGCTATATCGTGAGCTAACAAAGTTGGAAATATGGAGCATTGGATTCTGACCCAGTGGCTCAATGGTAACGCGCTGGTCGCGGAACCTGAAGGTCGCGTGTTCGATCCCTGCTGGTGGGGTGGTGGGTGCGCACTGCCGAGGAGTCCCATACTAGGACGAAACAGCTGTCCAGTGCTCCCAGGTTTCCTTTGTTCCTCCAACTGATTTCAGTCTTCGATGAATGACAACTTGAAATATTTCCAGATCTCCACAACCCCCTCAAAAATTTAATGCATAATGATAAAGTTTCTTATAAATTATTGAACTAAGGGCGAAAAATAAAATGATAATGATAAGAGTACAAACACAGATAGTGTTTACAACTATCCAGGTGAACGGGGAGGAATTTACTGTAATCGTATCTGGGTTAAAGCTGAAGGCCATCAGAGGGGAAAGGAATGAACAGACATCTGAATATATAAATTAAGTTTGAAAATTTTGATTACTATGGCTTCTGCTATGCTTAGCAATTGGAGGTGCACAAACGTAAAGTATTGTGATGAGACTTTGTAAATAATCGTAAATGCTGAGGTGTTGTCAATCTTATGCTCTGTACCTACTAGATGGGCGAATATTGAGCTTTTGATGGGTTTCACTGTTTTTTTGCCTAACCAAGCTGGATATTGCTCAATGAAGCGATAGTGGGCTTGCAAGTCGTTCCACCTATGTAATTATCTCAACAGGAGCAGTTAAATTTATAAACGTACATATATGTGGCCAGATTTGGAAGCCTATTCTTCAACTGCATTGGCACCATACAGTGAGTAGTGAATTTCAAACATAGTATGGAGGCAAAGAAGGTTTTTTGCATCGGATTCTGAGTTTCAGTGTCAATGTTTCTGCAGCTGCATCTCCTTTCAACGCTTAGGTTGGATACAGTCGTTTCTTCGGCACCACTTGAAGGCACTTTTCTCTTGCAGTATTCATTGTTACAGTCTTTACAAACTTTTCGGGATAGCCGTTCTTATATAAAGAGTTCTTTAGTATTCTTAATTAATCGTTCAAAGTATCATCTGTACCAATCTTACTGGCTTGAAACCTTTGTGTACGGACTGAGTTCCTTTTGTGCGTAAGTAGGATATATGATCGGAAATGTGTACACTGACGAACCCATGATTTCTTACGATAAATACTGCGTCTGACACTGCTATTCGTTCAGCTTGACAGCAAAACATCTAGAAATGACAGATATCCATTTTTCTCCTTTTCACATGTCAACTCGATTTCTTGATGAACACTGTTGAGTTTATCGAGAAGAATGTCAGGATTAGTATCATTTTCTTACAGAAGGACAGTTTATCTACCATGCTACGTGGTGATCCAATTTCCAATTTCGCCGTAAACATGGTGACTGGAAGAAAGAGAGTTGTTTTCCTAAAATATACAACTTTATTTCTTCCGTTTAATTTATTTAATGTTGTGAATACTGAGATGTATACAGGACAGAAGCCAACCACTGATAATTAGTTGATAATCGTACTGTATTGTGAATTATTGGAATTGCAAAAGTAAGGATGATGTGATTATAATACAGTGGCTGAACGTTAACACATTGACTGTCCCTGGCACTGATTCCGCATACGGCTTGGTTTTTCCTCACACAAAATAAAAACTAGGACGGTTGGAGTGTTTACAGGCTTTTGGTTTTTAAAGTCTTATTAGTGCATGTTAATTGGTGTTGGAATTCATCTATAGTTTTCAATAACACACATTCATTTTTCTGTTTAACTTAGTATGACGGTTATCCGAATGCAGATGATCATTTCATTATAAATGGAAAGACTTGTAGGATCTCAAACATCGAAAGATTCCCACGACACCGATAAAAACAATCTGAACAAAGAATATTAGTTTCGATAAGTTCTCATCACGTTCTGCAATTATAAAACGCATCTGTATGGCATAAAAACAAGCCAAGTTAGCGAAGAATACATTTTCATCATGGACGAGATTTAAGGACTGTAAGTAAATTGATTTTTATTTTCTAAACTTATTAGTTAGTATTAGGATAACATATATACAGATGAAGAAGGGAGTGGCCTTTAGCTTATTGAACGCTGATGCGGAGATAATGTTTGAAAACTTTCTTTCTCAGTGCAACGATCAGGTTTGATCAGTCGTCGTGGGAGCTTCATCTGTGTTGAGCAGGCACTGTTGAGCTATATGGGGTAATATGTTTGGCACACGACGTATGATATTAAAGAATTTACTAGCATCTATGTGTGGTCCTGTGTCTGATAGGGACACTAGGTAACTTCAATTCATCTTTTCCAAACCACGCAAGTAAGCCTTCTAGCACCCTGATCCATACCTGCCTAATCATATGCCCCATGTAACTTGTTCCACAGAAACAGCTAAATTGGCATATACAAGATGAAGGGCTAAGATTGCCTAGGCTTTTCACTAGCCTCAGGTTAAAGATTGGCCGACTACTGGAATATATTCAAAGACGACCTGGTATAAAACGTTTTATGGACTGCTCTAGGTTTTCTTGAAGTGCAGTATTTTTAATAATTAAATGCAGTTGATTACCAAGCTTTACGGTGATTGTCCATCGTATGATATCTAGATCAAATTATGGTGTGAAGACTAGAATGATGGGACAGTTTCTAGTTGTTAAAGAATAAATACTCTCAGTTGATTAATAGTCTGTTTTGTATGATGAATAGATTTAGAAAAGGGTATTGCACTGAAGCTGGATTATTAAGGTGCGAGTATTTTATTATACAGATTACACTAATTAACTAACTAAATTAATGAGTAATAGTATGGAGTACCACTAGCTATAACTTAGAAATTACTGGACACCTTTTTCTCATGGCTACTTCGTATTTTTGACAATCGTTTGGTGTACGAAAGAATTTGAGTTTTAACTACGCTTATTGATTGAATGGATGAGAATATTTGTAGCTCAGGTGGACGGTCTTGGTTGTATTGTGTTCTCTGGGCTGGGTTGTTTAATCGTGGAGCTTTCATCGAATTTCTTGAGGACATCATCAGTACTAACTTTAGTATGAAGTGAGCTGTTAATATCTCTCCGTGAGTGATTTAGTAGCTTGCCTTGACGAAGTGGTCTGTGATTGGTTGTTTCCTTAGATTGTTGTCATTGACGCACTGTGTAGATTTTCGTGTTGACTGTTACTCTGCTTAACCTCTGACCTTTCTGTCGCTTATCATTTTCTTACTGATCTATGTCTATGTATCTGTTGATTACTGACTGACATGAATGCCACGCTTCTAGAAATTCCCTGATATTTTTTGTGTTTCCTCTCTTCGTCCAACATTTCTACATTGTCGAAATCGGATTCATGTCCATAGTTGTTATCCACGTGGATTGAAATGAGTGATGAAATGTCGTGTGTGACGTTTAATAGCCGATTAGTGTTCATGTAGACGAAGGCGAAGACGGTGACCACCTTGTCCAATGTACTGTTGATTACAGTCGTTACAGTTGATTTTGTAAACGATATTCGGCTTGTCTTCTTTAGTTGTTGTATACTTTGGTCTGCATAATAGTGTCTGCAGGGAATTTGTTGGTTTATGATCCACGCCAGTTCCAAGTGATCTCTGTAATCTTGTCGTGAGTTCTGATATATTCTTTATGTATGGTAGGATGATGCGTTTATTGATTTCTGTCGATGACTTTGTAGATGATGATGTACGGGATAGACATCTTCTAATAAAGTTTCGTGGGTAGTGCTGATGACGTCATTTAGAAAAACAATGAAAGCTCCACGATTAAACAACCCAGCCCAGCGAACACAATACAACCAACACCATCCATCTGAGCTACAAATATTCTCCACCATTTCAGTTATAAGTATCTATATTAATATAATTCGAATCTGCTCAGAATTATATCAATATGTACTATGATAGTGATCAGATCAGATTCAGCGATTAATTTCTTTCCAGGATTTTCCTAACAACTTTGGTCTGGATGTTCATATGTATACCAGTGGTTTCTAAAAGGGTTGAGTAACATATTTACTATACATTAGACTACTCTTTATTGAAAATTAGTTAGGGAAACAGGATATGTAGAATATGGCATCATACTTCTCCAAGCATCCATCTTCTCTGAACTAATCAAACATTATACATTTGTACATGCATATAAGATAGGCTGATACGTACCAGGATCTATATAGCTTTTATATGCTATCCCTATGGTTCGAAGTCCATCACCAGCCATTGGTTCTATCACTTCCCGCACTAAGCTTTCTTGATTGGCCATTGTGAAGGGTTTCGGTTCACCATTAGCATCAAGAATAAAACTGCATCTGAAATTTTGAAGTGATTTGGAAAATGTTGCAATTATTAATCTTATTGTTTTCAAAATAATAAAAGAAAAAAAGATTATAAGTAAATCTTTTTAACCCTATAAGTATGTATCACTGTCACAGAAGCGTTACTGAAGTCAACAAAATAAGGTGTGAAAACAAATCTTAAGCGAAGATAACTGGTACATAAGGCTAAACAGGTTGGCACTAGAAACTTCAAAGTTTCCGACAGTATACAGATTTCCTATAGTGGCTGACGTCACTAAAAGAAATATGAGTATCTCAAGGGTGATTATAATCCCGAACTAACCTTAGCCAGAGAACTAACTGCCGAACACCTAGGAATAGGTGATTATTTCAGCTTACTTCGGGAATTCTCAACTGTGTACACCTACAATCCTGCCAAGCGTCAAACCTAAGATTGCCAGGTCTTATAACGAGGATGTCACCACTCAGCTAAATGAATATGCTTCACTGCTAAGTAACCTAACACTGTAGCGAAGTGGATATTGACTGATGTAGTGTATTGAAGAACAACGGAAAGTAATGATAGATCAATGAAGTGTTTATCACATTTTTATGTTTGAATCACTTCCTATAAACCACAGATTTATGCATACTTTTAGCTTCCTACTTATTTATCATAAATTCAACTGTTGTAAATGATTCATAATCAACCCTACCTTATGATGTTTGTCTTTTTTAAAATAAAAATAAAGCAAACACATTATTTTCAGTTATTTATAAGTTTCAATCTTTGTGTACAGTATTCTTTTATGGAATTATACATACTAAATGATTACAATGATACGATGAGTGAAAATCAAATGAGACTGAACTTAATTTGTGAATGGAGGTCGTAAGATAATTAATCTAATAGGTAGTTGAGTAATTAATGTTTGACTGAAGCTGTTCATCATAAAGTACCATCCGATTACGATTGTTTTAATGGAAATACATCTAAAGAAGTAGTCGCGCTTATATGGGTCCAGTAACTTGAAAATAAACCGAACACCATCTACTATACACACTGTCGAACACAGCTGATTTTATAAGTTAGTCATTGGACAGTTGTTAAGAATACGGTTGTGTTTGTGTGCAAAACATCTTCCATGCTATTACCGGTTAGCACTCACCGCTATATAACCATTCATAGATTTTGAATGGTGTGGTGAGTTCTTAGTCTCAAGGAGTACTTTATCACAGGTTGGAATTCCTTATGAACTAACATTAATTAGAGAAACACCTAAAACCTAAGAGTACTGGGCAGCTGTCTCGCCCTACCTTAGGACTCCTCAGCAGTGTGCATTCACAACCCTACCCCTTCAGGGATCGAATCCAGCACCTACAGGTTCCATAACCAACAAGTTCTCATCGGGGTTCGAATCCAGTGGTTCATATTTCCCATTTCTGTCAGCTCGTGACATAGCGCTACCGCCACCCAATGTCATTGTTGAGTATTTGTCCTCAAGGCCATCAGGTGCTCTTCACCAGTCACGACTTCTCATTGGAACTTCAGGAATCACCTCTCGAAGCTGGTCACCAATGAGGACAAATACTCAACGATGAAGTCGGCTGGTGTTTACACTATGTCGCAAAATGATAGGGGTTGAAGATAAGGACCACTGGATTCTGACCCAGTGGCTCAATGGTAAGGTGCTGGCCACGGAATCTGGAGGACCCGGGTTGGATCCTTGGAGGTGTGAGGTCATTGGTGTGCACTGATGAGGAGTCCCTTGGAAGGACGAAACAACTGCTGTTCATTGTAACCAGGTTTTCAATAATCCTTCAGCTGATGTCAGTCCATGATGAATACCAGCTAATAAATCCTCACAAACCACAAGACTGAATACTTTATTACTTTATTCTACTGCATACCTGTGTCTCTTGTTTCTGTAATTTTTTAGAATGAAGTTGTTTATCAATTTCCATGTACGAATATACATTTTCATATCTATTTATCGATTCTCATTGACATAAGGCCATTACTGTTTTTAAAATAGTAATGCGGAACTATTATTAAGTATAGATATACGATTTTGATGGAAGAGCTGACAAATGTTTACTGTCCATAGGATAGACACAAATACTAAAAGAATGCAAGTCTAGGTTGTCAGGTTCATATTCTCAAGGATGAGAGATTAAACTGTCAGCAGAATTGTGCGTCTGACTAACGAACCGTTAATATTTACTACAAATGAATAATCTTATCACTTTATGATTTCAATGCTAGTATTCTCTTTGTATCTGTTTTTTTCACTAACTGACGTCGCTTGGACATATGCTACACATGCCAGGCCACCACCTACCTCGACATACAGCTCTGGGGGGAATTGAATGAGGTTGGAAGAATGCTCAGAGCGATCAAACCAAGACGTGAAACCAGTTCATAAGATCCCTGACTGCTGGTATGAGTCGTTTATAGGGGGTGTTAACTCCATAACTGCTGTCTCTGAGAAGACAGAAATGAGTGATTGAGGACTCTTGGTGGAATGGCTCATTATCGTTTACAGTGGAGTAGATGTATTCACTCTTCGACTTTTTCTAAGGCTTGAATGCTTTCATTAACCCTTATTTTCAAGTGGCCTTTCACCCATATACCTTTGTTTATTTTGATATCAGTCTTTTACCATCCACTTGTTTTTTGTATGCTACTGTGAACTGTGATAACTTGGACCGATACTCTTGTGCGCGAGGCTCTACATTGGTTCTTTCTGTCTATTACTTTCACAGTCATAATAAGTATAATAACGTTAATAATTAAACCGTTGAGTTTTGTTCTCTTTACCACCTGGTTTTGTGGGAAAGAATTCGATGGTTTTGAATTCCAGTAGATTCAGATATTACACGTCGTTTATTACCGACCTATGTTTGTTGAATGTATATATGTGTATATACTAGCATTGATAAGAAAATAGAGGAGTTTTAGATGATTTTGGCCAAGGTACTGTTCCTCCATGAAATTTCTTCTGACAAGGTTGAGAACCCTACAACATTTTGGTGAACACTACTTATTGAGCCACTGTTTCTAGTATTCCTTGAATTACAGTGGCAGACTTTGACGGTGCATGATGCAACAAAGTTCATTTTCTGAAGTGTATACATAATAATGATAACAGCAAACATTTGATTAGTCTTGTAAGCAACAAACCTTCAACAGAACTAGTGACAGTTGATTTCTGGTCAATCCCAGATCAAAAGTGATCAGGCAATTCATGTTAAGAGATTGTTGATTTCTAAAAAGGGTTAATGAAACCAACTTTTTGAAAACCATATATATATTTAGTAGTTATTAAATTACTAAATGATGCAACACTTTTCCTAGCATCTGGTTTTGAGAATGACGTACTAATCATCCAATTATTGAAAACGACAACTGTAATGAAACTTACTTTTTTAAGACCATTTCAGATGCACCTTTAGTAAAAACAGTATATCCTGGTCGATCAGCTTCTAAGTTTTTAATCACAGTGCTCATAGATTTTCGAATGGAATTAAATGTAAACACTTTGATTAAACTTTCTTGAGGCCATTGTTCTCGTATATCTTCATAGTTAACACCAAGACGACGTACAAATCCAAGCAAAGCGCATTCAGTTTTATTGCCAAGTTGTTGAGGCAGTTCTGTTGGCTTTTCAGGAAACTGTATTAAAAAGGGTTTAAATTAAAAAGAATTATTCACCCTAGATCAGATCCTAACTGACCTGTTTCAGAGACTTATGATTAGTGATTTTGTTGTTTACTCAAATATAAAGATAACAGGTCCGATCTGCAATGGTTTATTAAGGTTAATCGTAGTTTTCTTTGTCGGCAGGACACAAAAGTAACTAAACATTGAAGAATGTTTACACATGCATTTTACGGGAAAAATGAAACGTTTTAATTCTTGATATCTTTGTAGGTGATGTCATCGTCGCTTAAGACAGCCACCTGCAAAATTGCTTCTAAGCTGATGAAAGCGTGCATATTTTGGGGACTGAGAAACAGAAACACGGACGATGCATTTGGGAGGTGTATCACTTCAAGTTTTCACATTCTACAACAGGATGTGCATAGGGAGTGCATAAGGTAAAAGTGGGTCACCCCAGTATGTGAAAGTTCACAACATCATCGACTAGCTTGCTACTTTCTTCCAGTTATTACGCTTAGATTTGACATTACTTACACAGTGGTCACACCACCTTCAAGGAGTTTTAGGAATACACCTGAGGTTTAATGTCTGTTACTTCTTTATATTTTCTTGTTCCAGTAGCCAAGTCTGACAGCCTTATGATAGGAAAGAATAGACTACCGTTCATCACATTCTTTCATTGTCAGAGGGTTTAGTCTCGGTTAGTCATAATAATTCCTGAAAGCATCAAAAATTCTGTCAGTAGATAGTTTTACAATGACTACTTGACTAAATATGAATATATTTAACAGCTTGGTTGAGGGTGCAAAGTTATTCAGGATGAAAAGCTTGAATTTATGTGTTAGAGCCAGGAGAGCTATTTAGCACCAAAGTGTAAAAGGCAGTTCCAAAATATTTTTAAGTGCAGTAGTATCATTCAGATGCTCTATGAAAGCTTACAATCTTTGAAAATGTTAGTAACCAAGTCATGTATTCGTTACATCTGCGAAAAGTTGCACAACCATAAGTATGAGTGCTATATTGGCTGGAAAAGTCACCCCATAAGAAAGGTCTATAAATGCACAAGGTCACTTTATATATAACGCAGATGTTATGTGAATATAAAGGAATGATCGTAAACTTCTCTGGAATTCAACCATCTGTTACTGGAAACCTAGCCCTAAGACCTTATAAATAATTGAAAAATACTAGATAAATTAATTAGAAGCAGCTAGTTTTTCCTGTAATGTCTTCCAAATTGATGAACATTTTTCAATGAAAGTTTCAGGGTCTTTTATACAACATTACAAGTTTATGTCCCGAACCTAATTATGGGGTAGATAATTTTTATAGTATGACAAGTAACCATTACCTACAACAAGATATAGGCTAGTGGGTTTGTTTGTAGAAAAGTTCAGCTGATCAGAAAAAATTCAGTGCAGTATTTCAACAAAATTATAGGTCAAAAAGAAACTTTCGTTATGGCAAATAAAGTGACACTTCTATTTATATTTTGTTTACAAACTGATGTTACTTTCGGATGAAAATATGTAAAGTTGGTCATGATAAGATGGTAAGCAGGTAATGAACAGCTTACTCTTGTATTGTAGGAAACTAGACAGTATACTAGGCATTTTGTGCTTTCACGGTTTTACTTCAAAGCTTCACTAAGACAACATTCAATCAGAAAACATGGATTATCGGAAACTCATCATACTAATTCTTCTTAACTTCAGGTACTGTATTCATCTTTCCCCATGATCAAATGGGTTTGTTTTTAAATCTGAAGAATTGCTGGAGTGTTAGTAATGATGAATTATGTAACTACAGGATGACTTATCTTCTTAATAAGATGGATAAAGGGCCGAAAATTAATCAGTAGTAAAGGTGATGAAATTAGTGAACAATTTTAAAAGTTTGTCAATAAAGCGAAGTTTTAGTTATTTATGGAAAGGTACATTCAGCTGACGAGTCCCAAATAGAATGGAACGCACGTTATAGGTTTTTCTCCTAGCCGCAACCGACCAAACTGATATGATTAATATTCAGGCAATATCGAGGCATCCACATAGGAGCTCATATGCCAATAGAGATAGAGCTATTTGCTCAGAGGATGCTATAAAGGAAGAGTGCGCCACCATCCGTGATCTGCTTAGTAGGAAAGGCTACCCAAACAAGTTTGTAACTAGGCACATGAGTATTACGAGGGTTGCGATAACAGTGCCAAAAGTTCCTAAGAAGCAAATCTTCTTGAAGCTGGAATTTAAGAGTGGTACTTCCAGTGAAACCATCACACAACGCATAAAAAGAGTCTTGCATAAAGCATTTCTAGCGGCTAAATTATGTGCGGCCTTCTACAACCGCCCGATTCTAGGTGCAAGAAATAAAGACAAACTGCCTGATTCTGCCACTTCTATGCACATTTATTCATCCAACTGCTCTTGTGGAGCTAGTTATATTGGGCGTACAATGAGGCAGTTCCATCGTCGAATTTCTGAGCACTACCCATCATGGTTGAACAAGGGACAAATTAGAACTATAAAGAGCCCATACTTGCACACTTAGTTGACACAGGACATCAAGTGGTTACTGGAAAAGCCTTCAAAATTATCCATCAGATCCCAATTAATTGACCTCATGGATTACGCACTCGGTTACTTCACATAGCAGAGGTGATTGCAATCCACCTTCACAAACATAGCCTTTGTATCCAAAAGAAGTTTGTTCAACCACTTTCATCACCGTGGCCGTCAACATGATGTAACTTCTAGGTTTACTTTGTACACCTCTTCCTCTTTTGTTTCTATCAACATTCATATTTTGAATTTTAGTAACCATAGTGGTTATTTACATCATTATTTCCGAAATATCACCATGTGATTGGTAATTTGATTAAATTGTAAAGCTATGCATATTAGTGTAGAGCCCAAGATGAAGACCTAATTGGAAAAGGAATATGCATTTCTTCGCTCAATCAGTCTTTTTCTAAATGTCTAAATGAGAATATTCAGTGAATTACAAATATATCAACAAATAGAAATAACTACTGCTCATTGTACAAGAAGCGGCTCTCGTGCCTTCTTGGCATAGTAGATGACGATTTGGCGTTTGAAGCGATGAGCACGAGGTTCGAGTCTCAGTAGCAATAATATCACTCACTGGGGTCCAGGTATGTCCAGCTCATAAGTTCCAAGTAGGATAAACCTCATGTCCTGGATTCCTCTGGCAGCCATAACCAACCAAATTATTATTTTTATGAAAAATTTTTAAAAAATAGTTAATTCACGAATACTTACAACAACGCGTGATGTATAGCTACTGTTAATAGAAACACTGTGAACTAATCTATGTCCAATTCGATGATTTAAATCTTTCAACTTTGGTAGCTCATTTTCATTTCGAGTTAATTTTCCACCAAAATAACACTGAACAACTGTCATACGATTTGTTGTCAATGTACCTGTTTTATCAGAGCAAATAGCTGTTGCATTGCCCATTGTTTCACATGCATCTAAATGTCGTACAAGATTATTGTCCTAAAAAAGATTTAACAAAAACATTTTTTTGTATTGTGAATACATATAATCTATTTAATACTTAATACCTCAATATTATCAATTATATAAAATATATTAATAGTAATGAAGTTTGGTTCATTCTGGTTTCGGTTATTGTAAAGCGGAGTAACTACGCAAACAGGAAATAAATACACATTTGAACTATGAGTAGGAAAAAAATTTCGACATGAAATATGATATATCTTTAATTACTTTCAATAAATATTCAATTATTTAAGAAAATTTTAGTCTAGAGACTGTGACAAACATGTTAACAAATATTATATCGACTGATTGTATACTTTTATGATACTATAATTGTTTCATCTTTAGGTAGGTGGATCTAGTAACAATTTGGTAAACTGTCTATATGAAATATTCAAGTTTAATGAGAGACTATCTACTACAAGAAAATCTAATTGTTTCTTTTTCTTTTAATACTGTTTAATTTTGAGGAACAAGTGTGAATAGTAATAATTAGGAAAATAAATATAGTCCATTAATCATCAGTACAACTATCTGAGATAACCATGGTTTACCAGACTCGTATTGTTAATATCAACTAATGATTGCTGGTATAATTATAGTTGTTTCTTTAAGTCAATAATTCATGTTATTCTACATAAAAGTTTGATCAATCCTAATAGCAACTATTTACATAAATAGACATCTCATAAATCAACAGCAATATACAACATTCTGATAATTAACCTTCTTTTAACAAAATAGTACATATACTTACCAGACAATTATTTTATTCAGTGGTATATTTCAGAAAGAGTATAGCTAAAGTACACTGAAACATTTTTGTTGCCTTAATTTAAAGTAGCGCTGATGATTATTATCACACATTAATAAAAATAGAAATGTAATTCTTGACAACTAATAGGTAAGTTATTACGGGGAAGAAAAAAAATGATAAGGGCCAGAAAAAAGGCATAAAAAAGTGACTGAGAATAAGTTTTTATTTTATCATACTATAAAGTTAAGTTTGTTCAGTGTAAATCTGAGTTCACTACTACGATTTCTACTATACTGTACGATAAATACAGAATGTCAATAGGTAATCACTGAACTTCATGTTAATTGTGTAAAGTAAGATAAGTTTCGTTTTACTTTTTACTACTATCGCATGATTTCAATCAATAGAATGCATTCTACCTTCTCTGAGTTCAGATGTAGGCATCAGAAAATAATGCTCAATTGAAATAAGAACACTTTTGGCCGGGGTTAGAACTCCATTTACCCTTAGCGCATATATATCCTTAATAAATATACGAAAAATCTTAAGTATAAATTTTACTGCTCTCTTCAGCATTATACATATGATTGTGTTTGTATTTGAATTGTTATTTCATTTGATATATATTGGGCTGTTTAGTATAATTTTCTTTATTTTTATCGTTTCATTGACAATACTTTTATGCTTGAATTTCTTGCTTACTTTGATCACTTTCCTTCTTTCATGTTTTATAATCCTAGTGACAACTATTCATTTGTAGATAAACATTATATGGTGTTGTATTCTCTGAGCTAGATGGTCTATTCTGAAGTTTGTTGTCTAGAATGACAATGAAAACCTTATAATTAAACCATTCAACTCAGACAACACAACACCAACAAATTTTCCTCCACAGCTACAAATATTCTCCATCATCTCAAAAGCATTTTATCCTAGAGTATTAATTGATATGCATACGCATACGGATATATGACAAATCTAGTTATTAACCTGATGGGCGTTAACCATCTTAGAGATTAAATAATAGTCAATAAATAGTAAGGATTTGATTTATTTCCTGAGTTTTATCCTTTGTATAGTAAAGACAAACATTTTGTCTAACGTCTTCAAAAATGGTTTATTCAATTTGTAGATTTGTAGGGATTTGTTGATCTCAAGTCGGTAACCATCACGGAATGACATAAATAAGTAAGTAAGAAAACTACTGAAATCTCAGGAATACTTGGCAGCTGAAATCAATAGATTTTCACAAATCTCCAAACTGAATTTCAATCTAGTTCCCATTAATGAAGTTTTGCTGTATGTATTTTCTGAAGTCTGTAAGAAGATTTGTGACCAGTGTGACCAACCAAGTCGGACATGAGGACGAATACTCATCGTTTTTATTGGATGCTGGTAGTACTATATTACGAATTGACAAAAGTACAAGAATGTGGACCACTGGATTCGGATCCAGGGAGTGAATAGCAACGTGCTCGCTACGAAACCTGATTATCATAGGTCAGTCTCTGGCAAGGTCATGAATGCGCACTTCTGAGGAGTTCCATACTGGGACGAAACGGCTATCTAGCTATCCCAGGTTTTCAGTGGTTGTCCAGCTGATATCGGTCGGTGATGACTACTAAGTTCAATAATGTTTTCGGTATGACTTGAAGAAGAAGTATGGTTATTCAATAGTACTGATTGTCCCAAAAAGCATGTAATCACCAAAGGAACTTCTGATTTAAAATGTTAACTTCTATCGAATGCAAACAGCCAGTTTTTGAAGTAGATATAAAACATAGAACAGAAATTTGTGAACATTTTACCCTAATTCCTACCTCGTGGTGCCAAAGAAAGCCAAGAACAAGAATACTAGTGTGGATATCCAATTGACAACTCGCAAATAGGATGGAACGCGCGTCCTGGATTCCCTGCTAACCACTACCCATCATCATTATACTAGAAGAACAGTTAATAACTGATGAATAGTGTTTAATCTAATCCTGAACAAGATTGCTGATGCATTTCACTTACTAATTTGAACAAGCGTTAAATTCAGATTCATATCATCGAGTCCGTTGCGTGCAACCATTCCGTTTCTTCTCTGTATGCCTTAGTTTTTATACTATTGCTTGACAATGGGTAACTAAGTAGTAAACCATATTTTATCCGTCAGTAAAGGGTTTAAAAAGAACTAATTCACTCATACCTTATTTCTCATTGGATACAAGTTGTGGAGTGCTACTTAAGTCTACAACATCTGGAGTAAAATACACTTTATATCATGAAAACAAACCTTAAAGTTATTCGTATCTATGGATAGTCGTGGGTGTGCACTACCGAAGAAATCTATACTAGGACGAAACATATGTTCAGTGCTCCCAATGGATATCAGTCTGTGATGATACTAACTTAATAAAATGTTTCAAGTTGTTATTCATCGAAGACTGACATCAGTTGGAGGAACAAAGGAAACCTGGGAGCACTGGACAGCTGTTCGTCCTAGTATGGGACTCCTCAGCAGTGCGAACCCACGACCCCACCAGCAGGGATCGAACCGCGACCTTCAGGTTCCGCGACCAGCGCGTTACCATTGAGCCACTGGGTCAGAATCCAATGCTCCATATTTCCAACTTCTGTTAGCTCACGATATAGCGCAAAGCGCCACCCAATGTCATCATTGAGTATTTGTCCTCACGGCCATCAGGCTTTGACTCCACTCACAACCCCCTCAAAATTTAATAAAATGTGTTGTTTTGTGTGAAATAATGCATCAGTTAGAAACAATAACTTTGACGTGATGTTGACTGCTAGATGATATCTGATTTGTCTACCAAAAGTGTCAATTACAAAAAAACTTATGTGAACAGATAATTTCGATCAGGCTCCACTGAATAAGATTACCTTATGGAATATAAACAAAAACCATAAAAAAGTTCACTGATCAAAATTTAAATCATACACGAACTACATCCTACTTTTTACTAAATAGATGATAAAATTATCAAAAAATTATTATAACGAATGAAGAGGATTCTTTGAAAAAAAGGTATTGGACACAAATTAGAATGATTTCGTAACCACTTCTTCAACAGAATTATTTGACAAGTTTGTACATAAAAGTTTGATTGGCAAAAGTTGAAGTCACTTACTCAGTAAATTGATAGATTAAATAAAATCGATTTCAGTGTAGACCCTAGCTGAAATATATACTATAAGGATGAATGCATAACATAATCCAGAAGAATTCCAAGAAATAAATTGGTTTTGTCATAATCATTCTTCAAGATTATGTGAATAAGTGAAAAACCAGAAAATTGAAGTATATTGACGGGGTATATGTCGAGATAATATTATTGATTTCTACCAATTTAGTTTTGTTTATCAACCAACCGTCTATTTAATTATAATCTGTTTTTTGTTTTACCGTCTTAACCTAGTTAGACACCTAGCACTAACCACCAGGGAGCTGATTATTTTGACATTGTTTCATCACATGACATTATGAAGCAGTAAGTCATATTTATTATCACGTATGCTTATGTTACGTATATGTAAGTGTGTAGGAACCTGTACAACTGGACGTAACTAGTGCTATTAGTTTTCTGTCACAGGAATTATTATTTAGCATATACTGTCAAATTATGCATGAAATGTCAAAAAATAAAACTGTAAACATAAATGTCATCCTGAGAGTTTTCTTTTTTGTGAAATAAAAAAACTTTTTTTCAAATTAATAATCTTTTTTTAACAAAGGATCATGATTTAAGTAAGCATGGAACATTATTTGCTTCCTATATAAAAAAGAGATGTATAAAGAGGCAGGAAGGGTATATGAGAGAAGAGTTGAAATGAAAATTTTCAAAGAAAGATTTTCAAACTATGACATTTTTTCAGTATCCATAACCTGTTAACACAGAATGAAAAAGGAAATGCTTTTAGGGATAATTTATTGTCGAAAAATAGTTAATCGCAACCTTCATAGTAAGTCTTATCACAGGTTTACCTATTTTTCGATTATAAAAATTGATCAGACATATATTATAGTTAAAGAAACAATACTGTTGAGTGGCATGATTAGGTGAACTGGGGTATGTTCATATAGAAGTAATAATTTAGATAAAAAACATTGTTTGAATCTATCGGTCCTGAGTTCGAGTCCTAGTGGGAACAACATTACTCACTGGGAGGTAGGCACGTCCAGCTGGTTGGTCAAAAATAGGACGAACCGCAAGTTCTGGATTCCACTGCTAGC